TACACACGCTCTATCTCTGATATTGTGCACTTTATTCCATAAATATAGCACACCTTAAGACTATATTTCTTTATATATATATATATATATATATATATATATATATATATATATTTAGTTGGATTGATATGATGTTGTGACTCTGGATTTCACTCATTTGCAATCGTCAGACAACGCAAATAGCGTGAAACCCAGGGTCACAAACTCACATCAATCCAACTAAATATGTTAGCTCTATCAATGAGCGCTTTCAATAAGTACCGCGCATACATATATATATATATATATATATATATATATATATATATATATATATATATTATGTATATATATATATATATATATATATATATATGCACATATTGTATATCATTTTCCGACATCTGAATGTATAATCGACTTATATACGGGTTTCTAGGCATCGATCGATGTGACTCTCATGCTTTTCATTTTCTACAGAATCCCATACGGATTTCAAAATGTGGCACGAAATTGCGTGAAGTTCAGTAACCGAATCCAATAGTGAAGACAATACCTTGCGTATTCATGATGTCACCAAAATAGTACTGTGAACAATGACACGTCTTATGATCTGTGCAAATGGGCATTTGATCCAGGCAAACGATCCGCGAGTCAACCCTACGGTCTGCTTGGTGTTGTAGGGCTAATAATAAGGGCGTTAGATAGGAAATATGAGACATGACATTTAATATCTTGATTCGACTTCCACCACTGGGTGTTTTGTGTGCGTATATAGCTATTATATATCTCCGTATACCTGGTTTCATTTAGTCTGGTACAAGGCTACATGTCTTAAGCTCCCAGGAGGATCAAGCTCATTATATGCTACACTCGCCAATACTATTTCCATAAAGCAAGTGCCCACTCAGCTTTTACCGATAGACTTTTGTAATTAGCAATTGGCACGTACCTGAATCTATAATAAAAATTCAGCATGTGTAAACACTTGAAATAATTCGGTGTGTCGATCAGTTGTAACAGATGTAGTATAGCAAATAAAGAAATTACGATTGGTTTTGCCCAACATAGCAAGCTGATACCAACCCGAAATAGTTAACTAGAGTCTTTAACGTTCTTAAATAGACTCGGCTCTTCGAGATTTTTGTGAGTATGGCGCTGTGTACAACTGCTTCCTAAGATCAATGATTAAAAATGGCTTCAGGCGAATGAAGCCAGAGGGCCTTAGTGAGAACCATTCTCTCTTTGAATATCGTGGACTTGCGCTACAGAATCGCAAACAGTGAACTGTGCCAAATAAGACACCACACCACTTGAGGACCTTCAACAAACAACTAAAAAATGGACAGTATTTAACCCGAAGAAAAAATAATGACATAAAATAATGACTATAGCCACGTTCTTAAATAGACTCGGCACTTCGAGATTTTTGTGAGGATGCCATTGTGAACAATTGCTTCTTAAGATCAGTGATAAAAAATTGCTTCGGGTGAATGTAGCCTAGGGGTCTTAGAGAGGACCAATCTCTCTTCGAATTTCGTGGACTTGCGCTACAGAATTGCAAACAATGAACTGTACAACTTGTGCACTTTCAACAGCAGCAAATCTAAAATGTTTTGCCTTTCGTGTCGTCTCTGGCTTCAGTTCTTCAAATCTCACCGCTACATCCTAGACTGCATCAACGACGGATTTTTTTTTGTTATGTGACAACACAACGCATAGTAAGTTAAGCTAAAGATAAACCTTTCCAAAACGGAAACAATGACCTGGAACTGGAATGAAATGAGTGACGGCACCTACCCTTAATCATAAAAATGAAAACATCCTCTATCAACTGTTCTAAGAAATCGGACTCAAGATAAACCTTTCTAAGACAGAAGCAATGATCTGGAATTGGAATGAAAAGAGTGATGGCACCTACCCTCAATCATAAAAATGAAAACATCCTCTATCAAGTGTTCTATGAAATAGGACTCAAGATAAACCTTTCCAAGACAGAAACAATGATCTGGAATTGGAATGAAAAGAGCGATGACACCTACCCTGAACGCAGATTGTGTGTGTGTGTCTGTGCGTTTATATATGGGATCGTATTTCCTACATTTTTCAACTGATTTCAACAAAACTTCACAGGACTACGTAAGATTAGCTTGCGGTGGTTCTGACAGCGCCATAAATTGGAAAAACGCAATTGTTTTTGCATGAAATCAATTTGAAAACACGATTAAGAGGCATTAATGAAAGGGGGACAACTCATATCGACTTATACTTATTATAAAACCCAGGTTGTTTGAGTGTGTGTGTGTGTGTGTTCGTTTATATATGGGATCGGATTTCCTACATTTTTCAACCGATTTCAACAAAAATTCACTTTTTTTGGCAGGTAGTGTTTTTATTGTCTTGCACATTTTTTCTTTATTTTTACATTCAGAATGCTTTAAAATTCCACTTACAAGACAATTGTTTATAATAAAATTCTATTCAATCGGTAGACTCATAACGATTGAAAACAATGTTTTTGTTTGAGTTTGGGTTTGACCAATTCGCAAAAAAAAAAAAAAAAAAAAAACCTAATTAAGACATGCGTATCTGTCAACCTTAAACAATAATCTTTGTCAATTTTATTTTTCAGTCTTTATGATGGTCGATACTTGATCTGTCTCTTACTGTTACATCCCCGGGCAACGCCGGGCTCTACTGCTAGTCAATCATAAAAATCAATTATATCGAATTAGTAAATACTAATGACTTCAAAAAGGTTTATGCATTAGCTATAATAGATTTAGTATAGGAAATAAGCAAACTGTATGTCTAATAAATTGGTCCTGGGGATAGTTTGGCCCACTGCACCAAATTGCTACAAAGCCAAATCATTAAAACAAAAACTCGAGACATTTACTTAAATAGCCTCATCAAATCGAGACTTTTACATAGATATCACGCATTGCATTAAACTTGTTCAGACATATCTAAACTATAAGTTGTATGCAACCAATGATTAAAAATGGCTTCGAAGCCAGGGGATCTCAGAGAGGATCAATCTCTCTTCGAACATAGTGGTCTTGAGCTACAGAATCGCAAATAATGAACTGTACCAAATAACTTGAGAACTTTCAACAACTAAAAAATGGACAGCATTTAACCCGAAGAAAAAATAATGACATAGTCAAGATGTTGACGTTCCACACCACTTCAAACAAAAGCTTAGGAAGGAAACCACCATCAATACTTGAAAGAGCGATAACAGTTACTGGACATGAGGAAAATATTTTTCTGAAAACTATTTTAATAGATTTATTTTATAAAATTCAACCGACGTTAACACTGACTGTTTGGTCAGTGAATGTCGAATGTTTCCTTATAATAGTAATTGTAATGGATATATCAGCCACGATGTAATCATTTCAATTTAAACGTGGTTTAATGCCACTAGGGATGGGTACCAAATGTAGATCCTAATTACAAGTAGTACATTACCGGTAGTCTACTGATAACCAGGGGCATGGATTTATATATTGTCTTCTTACTGCGTCCTCTAAAAATGTTTGTGCAAAGTGAACACCATTAGTTTTTAAATAAACAGATTCTCTTCTCCTTCCCCTCTTCCAACCTCTCTCCCCACTCTCTATCTCTCCCAACTCCTCTCTCTTCTCTCCCTCTCCCCTTCCTTTCTCACCTTCACTCTCTCCACTTTCTCTCTCATTGGGGCAATGTTGTCTACCGAAAGTTTTTCTATTTGGTGAACGGTCCAAGATTCAGAGAGACAGGGGAAACCCCAAGTATTTCTTAAAGATTTTTATTGAATTTGGATGTGTCAAACTAAACTTTCAACATAACACTCCTTTTTCCTCTTTTCTTACTGTAATATTCACCCTGTACAAGACCCAAGAGCCAGTCGAAGTAGAGAGTCACAGAGTAAGGTGTACAGCTTATGGGAATATGTGGGTAAGATAAGGAATAACCCTAGGCCTGAACAGGTTAATATTATAGTTATCGAGAAAGCAACATCTTGGTAGTCGGTTTCACAGAGCAGCGGTTCGGGGGAAGAAGCTGTTCGAGAGGAACTTACTTTTCACGGGTGGAATACGGAGGGAATGTGGGTAGTTTGATTCAATGTGCGCAGCATGGCTGATCTTAGCTTTGAAGGTTAGAATTGGTGGAACTAAGGAATATAGTTCATCTGAGCACTTTCCATGTTAACAGCGATAGAGTAGTGAGAAGCTTGTGACTTTGTGCCTGTGGGGAAAGAGGTTGTATGGTGGAAAATCATCCGTTACCTATAAAGGGCGCCAAAACGATTTTGGGCCCGATCGAAAGTGGAACTAGAAGACTGACAGAAGCACATATATGCGGGGAAGATAATGAATAACCCTAGACCTGAACAAGTTGGGAGTTGGTTCCACATAGTAGCGTTTCGGGTCAAGAAGCTCTGCGAATGGAGGGAATGTAGGTGGTTTAATACAATTTCCGTAGCGTGTCAAGACCTAGCCGTGAAGGGTAGAAGGGGTGGAACTAAGGAATGTAGCTTATTTGTACAGTTTACATGAAAACAGCGATAGAGCAGCGAGTGGCTTCCGACGTTTCGTCTGTAGGAAAGGGGTTATCAGGTGAAAAATAATGCATCACCCACAGGGACGATTTTGGACTCAATCAAGATTGAAAATAGATGACTGCTATGGCAGTAGTATTCCATTTTCCGTCTGATCTGACTCTTGGAAAGGTAGACGATAGCAGGAGGAGTCAGGTACTTACTGCAGCGGTACAGGAAACCGACCATTTGTTAGACAAGTTTTAGTCATGAATCGCATGATGTGATTCTGGAATATTTCCACTTTCTTAAGAGTTATTATCTGTTTTACGCATTCCAGATTGTAAAGCAGATACTGCTAGATAGTTATATATATATATATATATATATATATATATATATATATATATATATATATATATATATATATATATATATATATATATATATATATATATATAGTGAGAGAGAGATAGATAGATAGATGGATAGA